AGATTAGATAGATAGATAGATAGATAGATAGATAGATAGATAGATAGATAGATAGATAGATAGATAGATAGATAGATAGATAGATAGATAGATAGATAGATAGATAGATAGATAGATAGATAGATGGATGGAAGGAAGGAAGGAAAAGTGATGATGGAGGGAGGGAGGGATGGGGTGGTGCATATATTTTCCTCTCTCTGAATATATGTGGTTTATTTTCAGCCCATGTCCTTTAGATAAGGCTGGGAAGAACAATGAATTGGATTTGGGGCAGAAGCAGGAAATCTGAATTGATACACTTTATTTGAAACTGATTTTAAAAAGGGGGGCACATCTCCTCCATTTTGTGCCAACCTGTTACGGTCCCAGCTATGAGACAGAAATCCCCTACTTGCTTAGCCATGACTCACAGCAGGAACCCTTCTTCTTCCGGAATCTTTTCCAAAAAACAAAAAAAAATCAACATATGGAATTCATTGCCACGAGGAGTTACTGGGACTAGAACATATTCAAAGAGGTGTGTCATCCTCCGTTAGAGTTGAACCTCCATGTTTAGGGGCAGTGTGGCTCTAGATGGGTTAGACTGCAACCTCCATGAGGTCTAGCACCCCACCCTGTGCTCTCCGATGGCCACAGGATCTGAGTGGAGAATGGACGTGGCGTCCAACCGATGGGGAAGAGGCAGCTGGACGGGCTTCCCCTTCCACCAGCTATCAAGACCCCAATAATTAGAGGGGAGCAGATTTGTAGGTTCAGGAATGCTGGGGACTGTAGTCCATAAACAGAAACGCCCACACGGCTGCCAATAACTCTTATGGGCAGCAATCATTATTATGACGCCCTCCTCATCCAGTTTTTATAACAGATCTTGGCGACAAGACAAATCGCGTGGAAACCCCACTACAGTACTATGAGATTTGGGGTTTTTTAGAAGTACATTTTCCAAGATCCGGCTCTTCTCTCTTCTCCACCCCCCAAACTTCTCTCCCCACCTCTGCTCCTGGACCTCTAAGAGGAGAACCGAACTGTACCCGCAGAGTTGGGGGCTGTTCGGCCCTTGTGCAACCGGCATCCAGGCTAAATGGATCATCACGCCACGGAAAACCCGGGCCAAATCCTCCAGATCCACACATCCCATTTCTTCAGGGGAATAGAACGCTAACCTAGGCCACCAAACGGCTATTGCATTCTATAGGGCAAAGCACCGAGGCGGTTCAAGTGGAATCAAAAGTGTTATAAGTGTGAAGTGTAGACATGTTGTCTAGAATCATCCTCTCCCTTGCAGGGTTGCATGCCCTCTTTGTCTACCCAGAAGCTGGACTTTTATGTTCTGAAACACACACACACCCCACAGTGGAAGGTAGTAAGTCTCGCCCAAGGGCACCGTTAGGGATCCAGACCAAACCCAGGACACGCGTGGCAGTTTACTCACGCGTATCTCTCACTCACAGGCAACTTTCAGGTCCAAAAAGTCAAAACCGATACCTAAATCTGCTTTTTCCCTGCTTCCCTTGGAATCCATTCTGCCTTTTGAGACCTGTCTCTTTAGATGACAGATAAAGTGTTTTTTTTTAAAAGAGAATTTAAACTGCCTTAACAGCCTTTCTGGCTTCATAACCAGAGAAAAACCGAACAACAAACGGCAGCGATGAGTAAGAAAACTTCCACAGGCAAAAAGGGGAGGTTTTTTCACTACCTTTTTGAGACCAAAGCAGGCCCTATTAATCACACCAGTGGAAAGGAATTCAAATACCACTTAACTTAGCACAGCCACTAATCTGCCCTAGGTAAGGAAAAGGGTTCTTTGAGCCTGAAGCCAGGTAACATTTGAACCCAAGACTCTCTTTAAGAGGAACAATGTTGTTTCTAATAGTTTCTGACCTATATCGCCTAGAGTGGTCATATTGACCAGATAGGAGGGATATAAATAGAATAAATAGGTAGGCAGGCAGGCAGGCAGGCAGGCAGGCAGGCAGGCAGGCAGGCAGGCAGGCAGGCAGGCAGGCAGATAGATAGATAGATAGATAGATAGATAGATAGATAGATAGATAGATAGATAGATAGATAGATAGATAGATAGATAGATAGATAGATAGATA